GGGCAGCTCTGGGGTGGGGTGACCTGTGCTCGGCGTGGGAGGCAGCCGCTAGCAATTTGGGCAGATTCGCTGCACCGTGAACGTCCCGGGGCTCGGGCTGTGCTGAAGCGAGCATGGGGCAGGGAGGGGGAAGAGTCCTGCGAGCTATCGGGGCAGAGCTGAGGCTGCCCCTTGATGCCAGCTTTTAACCGTCGATTGTGGCTCTGGCACTCGGGCTGGTTTGCAAAGCTCATGAAGCACCAGTGACGTCAGTGCTGATCACCCAGCGGGGCTGGGCTGCAGCTCACGGGGTGGCCCAGCACAAGTGATGCAGGATGCGTGGCGCGGCATGGTGTGGCTGCTGCCACCATGAGCATGCTCTGGCGAGTGTCTCCATGCACGTGTGTGGTGAGAAACCAGACTTCTTGCGTGCGTGCTCCCTTTCCTGCTAGTCAGGGAGGCGGTGGGAGTCTGGCTGTGGCCTCTGCTGGGATGCTCCCTGCGCCGCGCCGTCTTGGTTTTCCCGGCCTTGCAGGGCGTGCGGGGTGGAGGTGCAGCCATGCCAGCTGATGAGTGTATGCGGTGTGGTACAGGCGGGGGTGTCCAGCTCCCCCACTAGATCTGCCTCTCCTACAGTCTTCTGTGCTCTTTGCTTACAGGGGAACCTGCAAAATTGGCACCAGCACCTTGGGGCTGTCTGCACCCAGTGGGAGGGCTGAGTCAGCGGGTGAGACGGCAGGGTCTGGCGCCCACCGCGCTTCCGAGTGCGAGCGTGTGCGTGTTCTTGGCAAGCACCAGCCGGCATCTAGGAGCACGGGAGGCATCTCCGTGACATGAGGCATCGCTGCAGCCCTGCCTGCCGGTGAGTGGGCCCAGGCCGTGGGATGGAGACGGGAAGGAACACGAGTGAAGCCGCTCCACCCTTCCGGGTGCCTAGAGATGCTCCGGAGCCCCGTGTTCCCCGAGCGCACGCCGCGTGCTGTGGGCTGTGTGTGCTACAACACGTGTGTGTGTGGGGGGGGAGCTCTAGCATGTGGCCCTATGGATGCCTCGTGGCACGTGCATCACGTGTGGGGCCCTGGCCACTGGCCACTGGCCACTGGCTGAGGGCCTGGGGCTGCATGAGGCGGGGCGTCTCCCCCCGCCGTGCCCTGGGCTCTGTTTGCACCTGGGGCTGTTCTTGGATAAGGAAGCAGCAGGGTGACACCGTGGCAGCCTGCCCTGAGTTTTTGGAGTCCGGGGGCGGGGGGTCACGTCACAGCTGTGCGGATCTGTAAGTGGCTGCTAATGTGGCACTTGCCAGCTGCTGCCTCCGCAGCTGGGTGCCTGGAGCCCACCCTGGACGCTCCTTCCCCCGAGGTCAGCTCAGCGTCCCTGCTGGGCCAGGCTGGGGCTCGGGTTATGGCTGTGTGGGTGGGAGCTGGGGAGCCAGAGACCAAGTTGCAGCTCCAGCCCTGGGAATCAGACCAGCCTTTTCCTGTGGGCATGGGTCTGGGAGCTCCAGGCACCTCCTGGGGCACAGTGAGCATGCTGCCTCCCCGCAGCGCTGGCCCGGGGCAGGGTGGCATGGCGTGGGGGCACATGGGCCAGCAGAGCTTGGAGCCAAGCTGTGCAGAGCTGCTGCTCTGGGGGCTCGAGACCTCCTTGCTCTTGGGGCCCCTGTGAAATGTAGGACGTGCTGCAGAGAGGGAACCGCGCAGCTCGCCACCTCT